TTAGTAAAGAAAAAAAATATAACAGTAAAATAAATAAAAAATATACTAGTAAAAAATGGTACACTAAAAAATGTAATATCTTATTTATAATAATAAATAAACAATGTTACCAGAAAATAACTCATTTACGTGAACGAATAAAAATAACTATATATAGTAATGCCGGGGCTGAAAGGTCACCTGTCCCAGTAGAAGTCAGGCGGCGATAGCAAATGGGAGACGAGATTTATATTGCTTCGCAAATAAAGCAGTTGACCCGTTTTTTTCTCCAAGGACCTTCGGGATATGTTGAAACACGTGCCTGACTTAAGAAAAATTTAGTCAATTATAGTGAATGACTAAAATCCACGTGGGTAGCTTTGAAAGCAAATAAATGATATGCGCAAAATATATAACCAACTGTTTTCGTTAACAAAGTAGAAATACAAATATAACAGCTTGATTATGAAAATAATAATCAAAGATTTAAAAATATTGAGAATAAAAAATATAAAAAATAATATCATAGTTAAAAAGTTAACTTTAGTAAGTGAAAAGCAAGTAAAATGCTCCATACACGCGTTGGTTAATAATAATTGTAATAAACAGTGACACCTTCATGGAAGTTGGAATGTAGGAAATTTCATCCACAAGCTCTTCAAGCATATTTTCCCAAATGTCCAGTTTTGCCGACAATGCAAGAGCATCAGAAGCAGCTAAAAAAGATAATAATCATAATAATATTGTAAAAAAATTGTAAAATACAATACTAACAGTATATTTTAGTCGTATAGAGTACGGTAATCTTTTAAAACAATTCAAAAGTTTTAAAAAGATATTTTTGTATATATACTCAACTAAGAAGAATCAAATATGTAGAAGCACGAACAGATTCCAAATTATTATAAATAAATAGAAATGCATATATATATATAAGTAGTAATATAAGATATAATATAACTATTCTATGAAATATTAAAAGTTTTCTTTTAATAATGCATAAGCGACAAACAGTTGTACAGGACTATGTAATATTTAATAGATTTATGCAATAAAAGGGGTTAAACAAAGAATAAAGATGAAGATAAGAATACATTGCCTTTATGTGGCCTCTAAATAAAAAAAAGAAAGAGAAGTCATCAACGACTTTTTTTTTCAAGTACAAGTAATTGCCTGCTACATTGGCAATACTATTATAAAAATTTAATACTAATATAAAAAATATATTAAAACTAGAGTTGTACTCTTCTAATATATTACTAACAGAACCGCAACACATATATATTTATTACAATTAAAATAATAAATAAGTGATTAACTAATTATATAATAAATGAAGTAATTGTTGAATTAGTAAATAAGTTTTAGTATAAAAAAAAGACATGCGAACATATGTTTAGAGACGGTTTAAAAAAATGAGAAAACTGTCACGCTGCGGTTATTTATATGCGCCCCCATTTTTATTATAACCGTATTATTATATAATTATTACTACTATTGCATAATATATGAGGAAACAAAGAAACTACTAAAAAATAAAGGCTTGCTGCTAAAAAGAAAATATTATTTTAGAATATGATTCCTTCGAGAAGTTTTTAATATCTAAAAGAGAAAGTTTTTTTTACCATACTTCTCAAAAGTTAGTGTTTCTCGGTCGTGTTTTCCAGAAAAAATAATAATATTCTCGCTGACTAATGTAGACTCTCTGAAAAAAATTATTTTAGAAACGAATTGTAGCACAGACTAATTAAAATAATGAAAGGTATATAAAATTTAAAATAACCGAGAATCATCTATTTTATAATAAATTTCTTCTTCCGCCACGATTTTCGAGATGTACGGACGAACTTCAATTTTATGAAGAAGTTTATTAACCTGCAAGCGGTATATAAAATATTTAGCCAAAATACTTTCAAAGTATGAGAAAATTCTTTTGGCCTTTAGACTAAATTTAAAGCGTCTCCAAATCTCAATAACTTCTTAATATATTAAAAAATTTTTAAGTGTGTGGCGGCTGTTGGCGCTTGTATCTTGCTGCAACCAATATTTATACGGCGTTTATAAAGATGAACTAGTATAAATACAGAGAGACTGACTAGGGTCATCACGATTGCCACAACTCCTACGAAGACCAAGCATGGCAGGGCGGGGATTAGTTTTTATTATTTTAAACTTTCCAGGATTTTGTATTATTTTCGTTGGTTTTTAGATTTTATGTGCACTCGACAAAAGAGTTTTACTGCCTGATTCCAAAACGGGCCACCAAGAAATGTTTTAGTAAAAGCGAAGTTCTCTTATCTGACGGTTTAGTACTTCCAATGCTTGGTAAACACGGCAAAATCCACGCGGAGGCCACTCAGTACCAAGCAGGAAGGTAAAACATAATTTAGTTTAAACGCTACTACTAAACAAAGATTGCGTTGTTTCGATTTCCGTTTAGTTTAGTATTCTAATGTCTTTCTACAGCTATTAAAGTTGTAGTGTGAAGCACTCGTGAGGGCGAGTACTGCTTAGGCTCTCACGATGACGCACAATAATTAACTTTTTATAAACGCTAGGTACCTTTTCATAAATAAACATTATTGGTCTAAAAGATATACTTTACGCTTTATAACTTTCTAAAAGTATACATAAATTAAATACAATTTTTACTCAAAAAAAATTTTTTAAACTTTTGATTCCAATAAAAAAATAAGGGAAAAATATATATGTAATAGGAAATCTAAACTAAACGAACCTAAAAAAAATGGTGACAATTGGCCTTACAAAAAGAAAAACTCCTCTAGTTAGTTACTCTCTTGGATTTAAAAATAAGGTGTAAACCAAAACAAAATCTAAAAATATGGTAAAATAAACTAATCTCAAATCATTTCTAATCTGGTTTAAATTTAAAAGGGTAACGAAAAAAAAAGGTGATGAAAAAGATGCAAAGTAGAAATATAAAAGTTTTATACATAAATATAGTCTCAGAAACTTTAACACAATAAAAAAGGTTAAAAATACGTACAAATTAAAATAATTAACTAATTTAATCAACCTCAAGCATTTCAGAATTAGAGATATTCCAAAGAACAATAGTACCTGGTATTAACAAGATCAGACACATTGTATAAAATATAACAATAAACATAACAAGAAGATATATTAAAAAACCAACCACTTTTGAAGAAGAAGATTTCCCCTCTTTCTGAAAAAGAATACACGTGAATAACATCAGTTTCCTCACCAACAGACGAAAAACTGGTGATTTTAAAGTCTCTATAAAAAAAAAAGAGAAAAAGAGGAATTTTTGGTACAATAATTGCAAGCTATTTATAAAACTTTGAGTGAAGTAAAGACGTAAGCGCTTCTAAATTAAATGCTTCGGAAGTACAGAGGGCTTTACATATCCTGAACTCCAAAGCTTTGCCCTTAGAATGGATAGGACATAAAAAAAGCGGAACAGGGATGAAAACAAAATATACAAAAAGGAAAGAGATAATGGAAACCTGAAATTTACTGTTATGCCTGGCCTTTTCTCTTTTTTTATGTTTATTTTTAGCTCTCGTGGCAATTCTGTTGTTTAAACCATCAGTGGAAGGTAAAAAGGTACCTACATAGATTAAGATTGTCGTGTTCAGCACCAATAAATATAATAAAGAGGATATAGCAAAAAACCTAAACACCTTTAAAAATATTTTTTTTATCCTTTGAAAGAGAAGAATCTATTTTATAAAGGTTTGAAGTATTTTTGTAAAGTAGTTCTGCGTTTTGTTTATCAAAAATCGTCCGCGAACCATTCCCCCCTTCAACTTCAAATATTTTACTTTGACTATGTACCCTATCGGAAATTCTATTTTTCTTTGTCCCAGCGTCCTTAAAGTCTTTAGAAGCGTTCGTGGAAATTATATTGTCGTCTTTACAGTGATTGTAAAATTTGCTGAATATTGTAGTGGGGAAAGCTGTTTTTAGAAATAAGCAAGGAGCAGTTATATGATAGTATAGAATTTCAATAGTAAAATTAGAAGAAACACTTCGGTAATAATGGTTTACGAGGTAACTTTTATAATAAGGTAGATTTAAAAATTTAGACATTAAATTTGCTCTCTTTTTCTAAACTCTCCCGTAACCCAGTTAAGTCCTTTCAAAGAAACTTTAACCGAAGTAACGCTTACTTTGATTAACTTTAACTGAATCTCCTAGATATTAAAAAAAAAAGACTCTTCTCTTCTTTACACATAAATCTTTAAACGAAAACACGAACGGAAGAGGGTAACTGTAATATTAGAAAAGGGGTCAATAAGGTAACACGATCCCTCTAGTGCTTTTTCGTACTACATACACAAAATCGGAAACTTTTACTTGAGGGCTGGTGTTAATAAAAAATTGAGCTATAAACTGCTATAAAAAAATTTCAAGAGCGGTCAAAATCTAGTAATAAGGGTACATTCTCTGCTTTTTCTCCAAACAATTCCAGAACATTAAATTCTAGTTTGAGACGGCTCAAAAGCGTAGCTAAAGCTTTAGTATAACCTTAGAGACCAAGATACCACTATATGTTGATAATAAATTTTTTTTTTTTGTTTCTCAATAAATTACAGGTTGTTTATCTTCTGTTCGCATTCGTCAAAGTTCTAAATCCTATTCGTTATATTTTAAATGAGATGCTCTAATTCTAATAAGATCAAATTTTAGTAAAATGGTGTGTTCCCGTGCCATTGGGTCGCTTTAAGCACTCCTTAAAACCACGCACACACAGATATAGAATAAAGTTCACTGGTAATTAAACTTATAAAGGAGTAGATAAATATTAGGTGCCCTTCAAATTAGTATTCCGCTCCCAAGTTAGTCAAAAAACTTTTATCTATGACATTCATATGATCTTTTTAAGGATAACTTGCTTATAGAGTAATAACTTTTCTTACATTAATAAAATTTGGTTGTTCAAAAATGGTAGTATTAATAACAAAAAAACAATAAAGTCCCAGTATCGGTCAAAGAAGTAGTTGTATTGGCGCATCGTCTTTTTAGGATCAGTAATTCATTTACGAATATAATAAAGGTCAAAGTAAAGGTTAAAGTCTCATACTTTATTATGTCAATAACTTAAGCAATAAATTTTTAAATAATTAAATATCTATCTGTTTTAACAGTTTATATTTTTCTTGACCAAAAAATTTTCTATCGCAGTACTACACACACTAACTTTTATAATAGAAAAATCAATTATAATGTAACGGAAAAACTTGAGAGAAAGCCAATCCGAAGCCAAAAAATACCTTGTTAACCATGCATAATTAAAGACTGAATAAAATAGCTCACACTTGAGATAAATACGAAGTTGAAAGGTAAAAAACTTTTTTATCGTTTTTGTCGCCAAGACAAAAAGGCCTACACTTTTTTGACTTCTGCCACCGCCTAGCAGCTGTTCTAAGAGAGCCTTTTTTTTACTGACATACTACAGCCGGTATGTTAGCACATCTTTACTGCTTAATCCTTATTCCCCTCTTAAACTATATGAGAGGTAAAAAAGAAAGGATCCAGTCCCCTTCGAAGAGTCTTCATCTTCAATTTTTGCATACTAGCCCATGGGCAAATTATAAAAGAAAAGAAGTATACAGCAAACAACCAAACAAAAAAAACCGATTTCTATTATCAAGAATAACTAGAATAAAATAAGTAAATAAGATCGGCAAATAATAATAAAATAATTTAAAGGATAAATATAAATATACTATAATACGCTGTTTCTTATATTACTTGAATTATAATAATACTTAAGTCCATTAAGCATTTAGAGATAATAGTTTATGAATATTTATTATTAAATAATAATAATCATAAAGTGTAAATTAAATTATATTATAAATGAGTAAACGACAGATATTAGGGTAGGAAATTGAGGTTTAAAGGAAAAGATCTTAAGATGTGTTTAGGTCTTTCACACCTGTTATACTGGTCTAGGTTGTAGCTAACAGCAGGGGCTAATAAACTATTGGTATGTTCACGATATTCTTTAAAGCATTTAGTCGCTATTTGTAAAGAAAAAACTCTTGATTTCATTTGGCAGTCACGATGCAACTGAGCATTACGTATTAACCACGAAGCGTCAGTGATGATTCTGAGGAGTTTGTTTTAAAAAATCTGCAGTCTATTTATATGACGATCAGAGTAGGACCAACAAATGGAGGCATACGCCATAACTGGGAGAATAATGGATTTGTATAAAAGAAGCTTGTTTTTAAGGTGGAGTTTGCTGCGCACGCATATTAATGGGTATAGAACATTCTTGGCAGCGTTCATTTTTCTCAGGGGTGTTCCAAGTTAATTTGTGGTCTATAATAATCTCTAAGTACTTGACGCTAGAACTCCACAAAATAACAGTTTTAAATATATGTAGAGTTTGGTGCTTTTAAATATTAACTATTCTTCTTAAAATTTTCAATGCTGCACACTCTTAGAAGCATTGAAGGTTATCTTCCAGTTAGTAAACCAGGTTTCCAGTGCGTACAAATAAAGTGATAAGTGTTTAATTGCCAGTGCCATCGGTTTAGAGCCGCAGAATATAGTTGTGTCATCCGCATATTGGGAGTGATAAAATAGCTGATCTGTGGATGTCTGCCATATTAATAGCGAGTAAATGTGTCGATAAAAGTGATATTTGAGGGACTACAACCTTTTTTCCCCAAAATTTGAATTAACCGTCCTATACGGACAAATTTTCTATGTTATTTATAATTTTTTGTCATCTGGATTAAGGAGCTAGGAAAGTTAAACTTGACCGTCTTAAAGAAAAGTCCTCTTCGCCAAATTTTATCGAAGATTTTCTCAACGTCTAAAATATTATTGCGGTATATTTGCGATCGTTAAAAACTTTAGTAACACGTTCTGAAAGTCTTAGAAATTCTGTTGAGATGAGGAATGTTCTTTACGGAAACCAACTTGACACCCGGGTATAATGTTCTTTTCTTTCGCAAAGTTATTTAACCTTGCGAGTATCACAGCCTCCGCTACTTTGCCAATGCAGGATAGTAAACTTGTGGGCCGATTGTCCCTAATAAAGTTTCCTGGTTTTTTTTAATTTAGAAAAAAAACAACTTCTGCTACCTTCCAACGATTAGGAAAGTAAGTAATAATAGTTAATATCGATTTAAAAAACTCATTTACATAGGCAATAGACTTAGAAAAATGTTTGAGCATTAGGTTGGATATACCTTCTAATCCCACGACCTTTTTGGTCATTAACGCTTTGATTATTAATAATTTCTTTACAACTGGTAAAATAAAGTTTGCCGCTCATGCCAAGGCCCCTCTTCTTAGGTCGTTGTGAAACTCTCGGAAAATGAGTAAAAATGTTGAGCAAAAACGTTAAATTTATCTCCGGCAATATGTGCTACGCTATTTTCATGTTATGTGGGTGGTATGTTTAATAAAATGCGGCAAGGGTTAAGGATCCTTTCAGTTTCCAAAACCACAAGCCCTTTGACTTAAACATTTTAGCTTTTGTTCCAAAAGTTTATTATTAAGTTTTATCCATTCCTTTTTTAATAAGGTGACTTTGTGGCGGACTTTTTTGTCCCTAAAAAAGCCTGTCTTTATATATTTTAATTCAAGGGAGCGTCTCCTTTTAATCATCCGCATAATAGCGGGAGGCATTAATAAGTTGAAGGGCCTAAAAGGCTTAGAAGTGGAGGCAGAATTGTAAGCACTTCGGAATGTTGATTCTAGATGATTGACAGCATCAACGATACCTGGTTCAGATGGCGGAAAAGTATGTTTATTAAGATTTCTTCCAGTAATGCTTGAAAAATTGGCCAGTGAGTTATTTTTTTTTTTATAGTATTTGAACCTTCAGGAAAGACAGAATCTCCCAGCTCAATAAGAACTGGCCTATGACCGGAGGACAACTCGTTAACAGGATTAATACATGCAGTGATGTATGCGTTTGTAATACTGCAATGTCCAATCATAAGTGGTTCCCCATTGCGCAATGTAAGTCTGGTCATCTGGCTCTAGGATAAGGGAAATCAGATAAATTATCACAATTATCTAAGAGTTCCCCATTTCTATCCGAGCAACGGTCGTACCAAGGTGTGCTTGCTGTTGAGAACTCCAGACCACAAATCTGAGCTCGAGAAGCCGAAAATATTCTTAAGTCCTAAAAAAATAAGTTCTTGCTGGGGGACTGTAAGCTGATATCTCTACTGCGTCGCCATTCTTCTAGTACCCCAGTTGCTTTTAAGATCTGAAGATTGCTTATATATAAACTCCGTATGTTGGATACCTTTCTTAACTAGAATTTCTACCCTCCTTTTTCCGAGGCCATGCACTCGCCACTATAAGGGGTATATTTAGGTCTTTGAAACTTATTACTTTCTTTGAAGTGAGTTTCCGAAACGAGAATGATGTCAATTTGGTAACAAGTAATAAGTTCAAGTAACTTAATTTTTTTTTGCCCCTTAGGCCGTTCGCGTTCCAAGATAAAATCCAAATATTCTTTAAGCGGTATTTCATTATTCATTCAGATTGTTAGTATTTATCGAATAAATCGCCTACCGATTTCGAAATATGCTTACTAATAGTCTCAGTTAGGGAGACTACTACAGGCTTAATTATTAAATCAACTTAGTAGAAGTTGATTTCCTACCAAAACTCGACATTTTGCGAGCGCAGCTCATTTCTGGTTCTATAAAATAATCTCTGATATTTTCCTTATTGTTAGTTCTCCCAATCTTACTAAGAGGAGCGTCTTTAGGATGAAAGATTCTGCCTCTGCAGTTTGTAGTGTGATCACCATTACAGTTTGCACATCTTGGCTTTTTAACTTTTTTCTTTAGGACATAACTTCGTGGCATGATCTTCACCGCATTTAACACAATTGTAGCCAGAGGGACAGAATTTTTCGCTGTATCCTAATAATCGGCATCTAAGGCATTGGCCAATCCTGCCACTATTCTTTATAGGTTCCGGAGAGACTGTAATGTAGCCTATATTTCTTAAGTTATATATACTTTGGCAGATTGAGGTAATTTAACAAGGACAAAGGGCAGTGGTGTTCGAAGTTTGCCATAGCGGCGCACTCTGATGACTGCAGAAGGATTCCAGTTCTTGTTTAATATGTTCGGCGTCTAGCTCTGTAAAGGCACCACACAAGACCATCACCCCTTTTCAGAAGGTAACCAATAAGTATAAAATTCCTGACCATTGGCGTCAAGAGGGGCAGGGCTGTAAGTTTTTTAGACTTTCGCTAAAAGTATCATCATTTTGATGCGTTGTATCATATCTTGAGCGGAATTAATTGTTGTTAGCTTTAAATTGTGAGGATAAAAATTTCCAAACTAACTTATTACGAAGAATAATGGTGGGGAATCTAAGTTTCTTATTAATATCACTATTAATATTGCTATTAGTATTATTGTTTATTATTACTATTTATTACTGTTAATATTACTATATTTACTACTATTGCTATTGTTATTACTACTAATTCTATTACTAGGAACTGCCTAACCTTGAAAAACTGTGCGCGAACTGTACGATGAACTTCTGCAGGAGAGGAATTACTCCACAAAGAGTTTTATGTCGCCCTCTCAGCAAAGAAATTTTTATCAAAACATTTGGGTTACCAAACAACACCCAAAGCTTAGTTTATCACTACACCAGTAAAAGTATGCAAGTTTCTTTCAGATGCGAAGCCCGAATACCAGGGGCAGATTGACAGAGAAGTAAAGTAGCCTGTGAAGACTTCTGCTTTGAGGATGGATTCAATTCTTTTAAAAATGGAAAGAAAAATGTTATTATTATTATCACATTATTATTAACATTGGTGGTACTTGTATTGCTAAATGAGGTAACTGATTGACTTAATGGTCTTGTTTTTCTTGCTCTGAGTTGTAATTATGCTTAAACTTTTAAGATATCCTGCGGAACTGCTTGAGCTTACAGTGTGTTCGTTATTGACAGTACCTTGATCAGTATCCATAAGAGTAAGAAAAATATTTCCTTTTGGTAGTTCTAAGGGTGGTTCCTCTTCCTTTCGTTTTTTGGGAGCCTTCGCCTGCGGAAGATCCTCTTTATTTCCCAGTTCTGCTATTTTTTTTTGTAGATCTTTTTATGGTAGCTAGCAAACTAGCTGCCATATCCTGGTAGCGGTCTCTCCCCATAACTCAAAAAAAAACTTTTTTAAAAGTGATTCTGAGTAAATCTGTTTATAACCTTTTATACTTTTTACATGTGGCTTAGAAAAAATAATTCTTAAAATAATTCAAATAAATCGCTATGTAAGTGAGTTAAACATATATTGTAAATTCTAAGTAAGGATTTTTTTTCTTGAGAGGAGCTACTCGCACTGCTCTCGTTAAGTACTATTGTCGCCCAAGAGTGTCTTTTTATTTGTTTATTAATGACAGTTCCTGGTGCTTGATCGAGTTAAAAGCTCCGAATACTCCAGCTCTTGATCGGGAGCGACCGCAGATAGACTACAAATAGCTTTCGGGGTGTCTTTATTTTTTACATTAACAAAAAAACTAGCGCTTAAGCTCGTCAAGTGGGCCGCGATAAAGGATCCCGTGCCATGACTCGTAAATAAGTTCACTCTCCAGCAGGCGATTAGTGTGCCTGGCTAGCTCGTCCTAAAGGGCATGGGCACTACGTTGGAAGACGACTCCAAAGGGTCCAAATGCAGGTCCCGGTGAAGAGTTTCATTTTCACAGCAATTTATTCTGGGGCACTTGAAGTGCCGACGCTATTATAGTGGAGTCATAGGCCCAAGCAGCTGACACGTATGTCATTATTGACTGGATGTAAGACAAATACAACTGCCGTTTGTTTCGCAAAGAAAGCTTACTTCTTGCCGCAAAGTAAAGGATAAAGCGCCTTGGTTGCTGCCTTAATCTTCGCCACTAGATAGTTCACGTAAGATCGACGGGAAAATTTGTTGTCGATGAGGATTCCCTAGTTTCGTGTGAGAAAACCATGGAATCTTCACGCCTTAGAGGGGAGGGTACCAACGAAGGGATGCGTTTCTTTAAAATTAATAAACCTTTGCTCTTCATCGCCTTTATAGTAACCTTCCAATCACGGCACCCGACAGCAAGGGCCTCAAAGTAGCGCTGTAGATGCTTGTACAGCAAAGCGGGTGACTTCAAAGAGGAATATACAATCGTATCATCCGTGTAGAGGGCGATTCAGGCGGGTGAATCGAAAGGCAAGGGCACGTCGCTCATGTAAATTGTAAATAAAAGGGGCGAGAGAAGTTATCCCTGAGGGACCCCTGCTGTCAGAGATTGAAGAGGTGGCTGGGTATCTCCCACGCGCACACTGAAGACGCGACCATTTAGAGTAATTTCAGCACGTTATAAAGGCCATGGGGACGGATAACGAGCGCAATTTGTGCAGCGGACCTTCATGCCAAACTTGATCAAATGCCTTTCAACGGCAGGGAAGACAGCGCCTGTTGCCTTCTTATGGTTAAAAGCGCGAGTAGTCCATTCACTTAAGCGAAGGAGCTGCTGAGTCGTTGGGTGCCCTTGCCAATTCCAAACTGAAACTCCGGTAAAGCTTTCCAAGCGTCAACCACCCCTTTAAGACGGTGCAAGAGAGACTTATTTAGTTTAGTTTACCGATTATATATACAGAGGAACTGGAAACACTAAGTGCTAAGGGACCTCTTAGTCGAGGCCACGCGTTCAGTTGGGTGCAATTATTCCGGTTTTAGGTACACGGCTCTCACCTTCTTGCGTAGCGCACTTCAAAGTAGCAGCCACCGTTGGCATCATGCACCTCCCAAGGAAAATGGTCGACATCATTTGCGTTCTAGTCAGTGTGATATGAATATAAATTATAAACCATAGCGAAAAAAAGCAGATGCAGGTGCATTTATTGGGCACTAACTGCAGCCAATCAAATATATAACATTTACCGCAGTTTAACCTGACAAATGAATTTGGCTGTTAATTCTAGCTCATCGCCAGTCGCAACTTTTACAGGGGAACCTTAACGGTGGGCGCCTCGTCTAACCTTCTTTCCAAGCTACTTTTTATGTACAGCGTTCTAGGTAAGTATTTCTCATGTTTCTAGTTTAATTATTTATTAAAGTTATAAGGGCTTAATATTAATAATAAATTATTTATAAACGCGCAGATGATACTAAAGTTAGCTATAAAAGTTGCGCAAACATATTATATAAGAGCTAATTCGGCTGATTATTAACACGAAAAGTATGCGCGTGCGCAAGAAGGACTATAAAACCTTCAACACGAAAGGCTATGAGACTAAAATTTTTCGGAAACAGTAGCAGTTTATATGATGAGTTTTTATATTTAAATTAATCATAAAAGCCCCGCACAATTTTCTTTGCAAAAAAGCATGCTATAACACCGCAAGGCTTAAAATTTAAAAGATTGAATTGAAAGTTATAGTTTTCACTTAAAGTTAATTTTTTACCACATTGATTTGTGATATAAAGAAGTATTAATAAAACTAGCCCAAAAACACCAATCTCTAGGGAAAGCAATAATATTTGTTGAATTTATCGGTTAAAATTAATTACATATGCTTATTAATGTGAATCCTGTAAGTCAATTATCTTACATTGCAAACTAAACGTGCGAACAAAAAGTACACCACAGCCAGAGAGCTAACAAAAGCTTTACAATAGCTATGCACAAAACCGAAAACACGTGAGTACTTCTAATAGATGGCATTTTAGTTGTTGTTAAGCATCAGTTTAAAATAAAAAAATAGTAATGTTACGCTTTGCTTGGTTATATCTCTGTTTTGCCACTTGTATATTCTTCCCCTCTTCAACTTGGGGTTTGTTTATTATTTTGGAATAGTATGGAATAATATTATTTACTATAAATATTTAAAGATAAGTACAGCTATTCCGACCTCGCTAGATTGAAGGTCCCGGCATCTCTCAACTATACTCAAATCTACCTTACTAATTTTTCAAATCAGTCTTATAATTTTCAGCCTCAGGAAAATACTATACTAGAGTTTAGGGAGGTATTATATAGTGATTTTATTATACCAACTTCTTTGTGCTGTTTCACTACACTATGTATAACAGAATATTTTTTAATTTATAAAATCTTATATGTTTAATATTGGTTTCCTTTTTTATATAAATTATAGTTTCTTCTGTTTATATTAAATTTATATTTTTTCAGTTTTTTAAAAATATTAATATTTAGAAAATTATTAATTCATTGCGGAGTGTATTGTTTTACTGTAGATGCAATGTAGACATTTGTTTGTTTATATTTATTATAATTTTTATCTTATATTTATAAGAGTATTTACATTATTTATTAAGGAATTGAGATATTTTTATTAAGGCTGTTGAAGTTTCCAGATTATTATTAGATCTTTTTTGCTATGCTTATCCAGTGGTTGGTATTAATCAGGTTTATATATTTCATTTTTGCATAATCAGTTTGCCTACTTAAACATATTAAAAATAATAAATTTATGTTATGACATAAAAGTAACAATGTTTTGATAAAGCGCTTTGTATTATAAAAATATGCTTTCCGGTATTTTAGATTTTTAAATTAACTATTACTTGGTTATTAATTTGCGTTTTTATTATGTTAGTTTAAGATAAATACTTATTTATTATTTTATGAATTAATTTTGAGCATAAGTTTTTTATAATTTTTCTAAGCTATAAACTATTTGTTCATAATTATAAAGTTTTGACTAACTAATAGAGTGTATAGTATTACCTCACAAAATTTATGTTTGAACAAAACAAGGTTTTTATATAACTTTCTTATAACATTACTAGACGGACACATATGAAGTAGTACGTGCTATACTAAATCACCTGCACCGCGCTCTGGGGGATTATAAAGACACTCCAAAGCTCGCTATCTTTTCCCCGGTGAGGGCTTGATATAATACATTATAAGTTAATAACTTCCGCCGCGTTTCTGTCATTACCTGTAAACACTACTTTCCATAGCAAAAAGTTGTTTTTTTTTAGTATCAACTGTCTGAGAGCGAATGTAGTTTAGTTGCTTTAAGATAAACAATATTATATAAGAAGTAATCTATTTAGTTAGTCGTCCCCTGACTTTAGGCGTGGTACACTTGGGCGCACGGGAAGATCGCAGCCCTAATTGTGACTTGTTTTTTTAAAAAAAAAAAACTTTTGCATTCATTGAAGGCGTCTCTAAATGGCCATTGCTGCCCGATGGCGCGGAAGGGGGCGACAGTAGACTTGTTAACTTTGCAATAAATATTAATTCCTCTTTTTTAAAGGAAGATATAAAAAGAGAACGCTCCTGGATTGCGCTTAATGCCTCTTATTTAGCTTCGCTTTTGCAAGAGGAAAAGGTGCCTACTTTTTATTTTGTTTAAGCAATATAAAGCAGTTGTTTTGCTGTGTATCTTAAAATCATAAAAAATTTAACGTTCTTTATATAAATATTATAAACCTGATATTCTGCATACTCTTTGCTTAACTTTTCCAGCTGGAAGCACACCATATACTTAAAAACGCTCTACTTTTGTTGTTGATTCTCTTATGTACACTATCGTGCAAAATTGTTTCAATGTTTTGCTTTTTTCATTTAATATAAAATAATTTTTTTATAACGTAATTTCGAATTTATACACAGTAAACTCTATGTTCTAGCTACATTTTATTAATACTTGATCTTAAATTGGTTTAATATTCGAAAAGATATGAACTTGTAAATTTCAAAGATTATAGAAACAATTTTGCACCTAGAAAAAATCTAATATAATAACGAGGTTTTAATAAATAATATAACTTCCTTTTGCCAGAATCACTGCTTGTATCCTCTTTGGCATACTGGCAATCAGATTATAGCATTGATTCGTTGTTATATTCTTTCATTCTGTTTGTATACGTGCCCAAACTCTTTCAAGTTAGCAGGAGCTGATTCATATGATCCCAATTTTTTCTTCGAGATCCCCCATGCATGCTCAGTGTGATTGAGATCAGGAGAATGCGGAGGCTAGTCTAGCACTTGGGACGACTGTAATTGGAGCCATAATCGCACCGATAGTCCGTGTGGCATGGGAAATTATCGTGCTGAAGACCCATTTCACTAAGGCCAAGGTCATACAAATCGCATGTTCTGGGTATTCATTTTTAAAAATGTCTAAATACGCGCTTGCGGTGATGCTTTCTCTCACTTTTTCCAAATATCCGCCCCCCCCACCCCTAGATGTTATACAGGACCGAATCATTATCGATTCTCCCCCATGTTTATACGTACACCTCCTGGGGATCAAGTATTCCGATTATCACCGATTGTTTCCAAACCACCTAATACCATCTGAACCATATCTATTGATCTTAGTCATGTCCGAAAAAATAACTTTTTCTTAGCCAGAAATGAACCATTTTTCCTACTTCTTCACAAACTCAAATCTTAGTCGCGGGTGACGGGATGTCAAAGTGGGTTTAATTAACTTTTTTTTGGCATGGAGACCAGCAAAATGCGATGCTCTCTATACGGTCGATCTTGAAACTGGTCTATCTAATGTTTCTATGTCGTACAAGTCAAGCTACACCCCTGTTTTTTCAAGATCTTTGGACACCCAAGTTCATTACAAGGACGTTTTGGATCATCTCGAGTTTTGCTCCGGGGTATTGGGCCTTACTGACATTACCTTCACCAGCGATCTCAATATAAAGGCTTGTCTTAACCTAGAAAACATTCTACATCATTTTTCTCTTTCAAGTTAACGCTTTATTATGGCCTCCAAATAAGCTATCCTTTATAGTTCCTCAAACGCTTTAAAAAAACCTCCTTGTTGTTGTGATCATGAAAATTTCGTAAAGATTGAAACAATAATGCACGGAGTGGGGTTACGTGCGAATTCGTTTTAATCGATATTTAAACTTTAAAAAGCGATAAAACTTAAGTAAGGAAGCAAATCCTCTAATACGAACTACATTAAATAGATCTCGATCTAAACTTATATATATATGTATAAGGAATTATTAATTAAAGCGTTAGAGACTTCTTACGAAAAAAAATTTAAACAGAAACAATTTTGAACGATAGTGTACTTACTTTTTCTCTCATTTTAAACTACGAATTAGATTGTTGAGTATTTTGCGAGTCCCCAAAACTATTTTTACGAACGAAAGAAACTTTCAAAAAATGTGTGGGGAAACCCCGATATCTCAAGGGATTTGCCCAACTCACGCTATACTGGCTACGGAAATATCGCCCTTTTTGTTAAGGTTTACAGATATATACTTTTATATTTTCAATAGATAAAATATATGTTATGAAAATTTTATGATTATTAAATTCATAAGATATTAATGTAAAATAAACTTTTCACTTTTATTTTGTTGTAAAACTTAAATTTTTTTATTACATTTGAAAGTTTTTTTTGCTATTTTTTTTGAAAGTAAGTGGTTTACAGAAAATTTACAGTGTCATCTATAACTTATAAAGTTTTTAGCCTAAAATTAAAAGAAGAATTTTTTTATTTTTTGGTTATTTAATTACGTATTACAATAATTTTTTTATTTAATTTTTAGTTTGTTTATAGACTTTAGTGGTATATTTTTTTTTAATTTTTTTAAAATTTAACTGTTTTCTCATATTTGTAAGTACAATTTTATTATAACTTTACTGTCTTAATTTGAATTATTATAAATAAAAAATTTATTTTTATTATTTTACTTTGTTTCTAGTGTTGTCACTTAAAATGTTTTATTAAGATTGTTAACGCCTACTGCTTTCATGTTTAGATAATTAGAGGATATATTTAACGTGCTTAACATGTGTACGATTTGTGTACTTGCAAACAAAACAGTAAAAATGTACGTTCAAGTCTGTAAGCCATTCAAATTAGAAATAATTTTTTTTGAGCATAAAGTTGCTTTTACTTATAAACTTGTCTTTTTCCCGATTTTTAAAACTATTGAACTGTTAGCTTTTCTGTTGTCAATAGTTCTCGGTAGCAAACTTGTGGTTAAATTTGAGCCTATCATAGAGTTTGAACACATTAATTAAAATATAGTGATTCCAGGTTTATTCTGGCATCTTGCAATTAGCAACATTTCCTAAGACGTTCATTTGCTCGTATCCTTTTGGGGCACTATAACATTTACAATATATAGTACTTCTTGGCTTTTTGAAACTGCTTGATATGTTTTGTTTACTCAGTATTTAACGATTTAACGCTGATAGCATTCATGTTTTTTGTTATTTTTATTAAACATTTCCTTTCGATAGGAACTTTCATCATCGTTGATAAAAAGGTGGAACCGATTGACCAGCAGTGACGTGCCCATATTATTAGATGAGATCAAAAAGTTTTATGAGCTCCATCAATTTCGAAAACTTTTAAGAATCCAACGGCACGTGTTTACTGAATTTCCATTGATTGTGAAAGAACGGGATTTATTGAGGGTGTACACCATCCTCTGGGAGTCTTTTTATAAGAGGCTCACCGTATGTTTTAAAGTATGCATTATCCTTTGCATTATTTGTTACTCTTAATAGGACGTTAAAGAGAAATATGAACAGTATTGGTCCTATAAGAAGAAAAACACTTCCAAAAGTGAAAGTTATAAAGCTGAAGCGGAAAAGGCGTGGACGTTTATGATTAAAAATGATAAAGAAAAGCGGTTTAAGTTGTTACTTTTTCTCTTCTACTACTGTGGAATGTAATATACACCAATTAAGCAAGCAGGACTTTGAGAATCTTATGATAAACATATCGCTTTGCTTTATTAAGTACCTGCTTTCGCATTTTTCTCAACGTATTTTTCACAGAGATTTTTTATAGGGCGAAGTATTACCGGTTTGGCATTTCCATTTGGACTTATATAATATTATCGTTCGCTTTTATGGCATTTCTGTTAGCATGTAAGTTTTTTTTTCTTTTTATTACTTATCTTTATTATCTCTATGGTTGTAATTAGTCGGGGCAATAGCAAGTTATATCTTCCACCGGCGCTACGTGAGAATGAATGGGTACCAAGCAATACCATCACACTTTTAAATAAAGTTTTTATTAAAATCCATTGAAGCGCTTTATTGTATAAGCGGGAGTACTTCATTTATCTGCAACGTTTGAAGCTTAGAGTAGTCGAAAAGGAAGGTTGTGGGGTAGGAGCGAACATTTGTCTTTAGCTTCTCGTTATTCTCTTTCTTCTCTCTTCTTCTACTGGCCTGGAGCTTCTACTCGGACGGGTGGGTCATTAGTAGAAGAGCGTTTGATTTAGTTGCAGTGGCCGGTGCTCACCTGTACCGCTCCCGCTCTCTCTCGCGAGAAGTTCTTGCTTTGCCGCGGCCCTTATCGCTGAAGATGAGGGTTTCTGTTTTTAGTAGAAGAGCTGCCACTAGAAATAAATTTTACTAACCTTTCACGTTCACGATTTTTGGCTCTCCCTCGTTCTCGATCTTTGTTAGACGCGCTGAATTAATATTTCATGGTAAAGCGGGTTTGCTACGCAGTATAGTGAAGGAACACGAACCGTTCGCGGTCGCCCTGTCTGTCCTTCTCCGACTCCTTACCGTCTCTTTCTCGCTCTTTGTCGCGCTCCTCAAAGAGGTCGTGGCGTGGGCCATTGCTGTCACGCGAGCTGTCCCCTCTACCCCTGGACGACCGCCTCCGTTCGTTGGTGAACCCACCATATCCGTTACTGTCTCGGTAACTACTGTAGTTAGAGTCCCTGCCGTTGAACCGGTGTGAAGGGGAGTGGCGGGAGTAGCGAATTGGCGAATAGTCGTGAGCATCTTCACGACGGTCAAAATTAGTCAAGTGGTCTCTGGGAAGCCGGATTTGCTCTTTAGAGGCCCACGGTTAATACTATTAACATTGAGAGCCCCGAACTATTTATAGTGCGAGCACCAGTGTGACTGGAAGGGTCATCGTAGTCATGAAACTGGGTCTGCCAGTGATGTATGCCCCCTCCACGTGATCCCTCTCCGCCTCTAGAAAATGCACCTCGTACTGGCCGCATGCCACCGCCTCGCTTTGTAAATAAACACATCAGCGAACCGATTAACTTAGACATTATATAAATGGCACTTCTTGAGGGTAGACGGGCCGCCCACCGTGACCTGGCTGAAACTGACCGTCCTATTGAGGCAAAACAACGCATCTGAATCCATTTAATGATATAAGAAGTAATAGATACGTGATATCCGCCCATGCCTTTAATGATTGTGGCGAAGTATTAACAAACAGAAGGTAAGAAAGGCGAACTATAAATACGCACTACCTTGCTCGGCTCCCAGCCTTGAAATACACAGGAAAAAAACATTAGCGTATAAACATGATATTGAAATTTATTCACAGTGACCTGAGGTGAGATCCGCCACCGAAGCTGCCTATTAAAAGTTAAATAAAGAGAAGTAATGAAGGAAACCACTCAAAAAACTTTTGTTTTGTTGAGGTTTTGAAGACCCCATACTTCCAACGACATTAAGAATCTAAATTTATATACATCTATAAAGAAAGATAAAAAAAATCTATTAGGCCCACCAACTTTTTTAGGGGCCGCCAGCACCCGAAGTTCCCTCTGACGCTCTCTATAGATCTTCCAGGTGTCCTCGGTAAAGCCGTAGTTAAAGTAATCCGTTATATCGGCCCCTTGATTCATTCATTAGTAGTAGTGCTATACTTATTAAATACTTATCTGTATATTAGTTTTGCTTTTAAGGTTTATCTTGCTCTCCTTATAAAAAGAGTTTACTATATTAATTCTCTAACTTTACTAATTTTGATATTACTGATGTATAAGTTTAATTAATTTTTAACAAAACTAACGAATATGTTTATCAACTGTAACAAATATAATTTAATTGATTTTCCCGTGATTATAAAGACATAATTTATAAGAAACAGTACTTATAATAACTTGAAAACAATGTGAAAAATAACTACTTGATTACGTTAATAACATTACATAATAACCATTTTAATTATTTAAAACTGTAAAGAGCGTAAATTATAGCAGCATTAGTATTTTAGTTAAAGCATTATTTATTATTATTGAGTTTCTTCAATAATGATTAGTATTACTCATATTACTTAGGAATTTATACATAACGTGATTTTATAAATTAATATACTTCTGTGCAGGTGTGCATTACACAGGCACTCAACTTATTTACTAGTTTCGAAAATAAAGTATAAAACATTTAAATATTACTAGTTTATATAAAGTAATATCGCTCAATACTATTAAAAATATTTCAGTTTTCAATTTTCCTTTTCGCTATAACGTAGTTACTACCCATTTTTATTTGTTAATGGCAGATAGTAATAAAGTAACCAGGTTTCCTCCACGGCTTATCTTGATCAACTTCGGGATCATAATCATAAATGTTGACCATTTCATTTCCACTTTTGACTATTCCAGGAGTGTTTAAGTCGAGTTTTACAGTGGCAGTAGAAGAACGAGGGACAGTTTCTATAACAAAATATATTTAGCAATTGAAATCCATTAAAGAAATAAGATAACTATATTATCTTTGCTTATTTAACATTTTTTTACTGTTATAGATAAGTTTTATTTATTCGTTAATAATAATATATTTTTTTACCGTGTACGAGTTTATTGACATCTGTTGTTTTTAAAGTAATACTCACAGGAGCGGCAGTAACGGTCTCCCTTAAATTTTTAAATTAAGGGCTCAAGTATAAAAACTTGTAAAAATTAATGAACTAAAGGGATTAGTAAGTTTTAAAAAGACATAAGCATTCTAAAAGGCATTTAAAAAAAGCAATAATATTTTTTTTTATTTACATGAAAAAAGTAAAACTATAATTTAACTATAATATTCAATTATTTTTTTCATTTTACTAGGTATAAAAAAAATAAATTGGAGACATGTAAGTTTGTCAAAGCCTTAAACTTGTGAAAAACAAAGTAAAAAAATAAAAATAAATTAGGTAACGTAGAAAACTAAGACCATTATACACTTTTCCAAATTTTTTTAAGAAGTTTACTTTTAAGTACATTATAATCATAAGGTATCATATTATTTTTTACTTAGGAAAATAAGATATAATATATACTGGGAAATAGGATCATTGTCAAGTGATATTTCAATGTCATCCTCCTACGTTAATTTTTTACGATTAACTATAAAAAGGTTTAATAAAAAAAAACGTTGTTACACTTTCGTCATCGTCAAAACCAATATCCTCCTCAAGTTTGTCTAGCTCTTAAAAGTAATTATTCCCTAAGCATAATTATTAATTTAAGCTATAAGGTTACCGGCGGAGGGCGCTGTTTCTGGTACAGCTGCTATATCTTCGTTTTCTCTTAAATCTTCTTTTTCTTCTTCCATATTTTCAATTTGTACCCTTAATAGTCAGATTAAAAATAAATAAATAAAAATAAGGTGGAGTATACATATAAAAAAATAGTTGATAAAAAATAGACATAAGTTAACAATGAGATATGAAACCAATGTTTACAAAAAAAGAAAAGCCTATATAGTGAGAAAAGGTTTTGTTTAATACTCATTTTCCACAATACTGAGCTTTTGTTGAGGTTCCCCATAAAGAAAAACGTCATCTTCGTCAAGCATCACCTCCGGTGTACCCAAACAGTAATGTTATTCATTAAATATTAAGGATTAAAGCGGTTAAGCAGGTGTCAGCTCCTTCTCTCTGCGCGTTACCATTCGCACATTAAGGTTATGAGAATAGACTCACGTTCGCTGAAACAGCTGTAAAACGTCAACACTACTGCGTAGAGCAGGTAAATAAAAACTTTAAGCAAAAAGCTTCGACATACGGTAAAATGAGGCTATTATTTTTACTTAATAGCAACACATAGCTAACTGAGCACATTATAACCTTAGGGCCTTACATTAATCCTATCAATGAACATAAAAGAATTATAATTGAACAGAACAAATTAAATTCTAGCATAGTACATTCTATGAAACGAGTCTTTTAATCTTTTGAGATATTGTGAATAAGTACGTACAGGTTATTACCATTAAAAGCTTTAAATATCATAAAATTTACTTTTTGTAAACTTTCCTTTAAGTTTTATTAAAATGTACAAAATTTTCAGCAATGCTTACAGCTCTTTGCCCTCGAGTTAAATTTTGAAACTAGCGTCATCCTTTTAAAATGTAACCTTTTAAAAAAAAATTAGGTAACGGAGTTAATATAACCCTTTTAATCTTTAAATGTTAAACCAACTAATATGATCTTTAAACGTGTGACGAAGTTAACAATTATACAAAGAAATATAGTTTTTAATTCTCGTATACAACTAATTAAAGTAATAATGTTACTAAAAGTAAATTAAGAACCAGTTACCTTAAAAGCCTTTAATGACATGCTATAGTCTAATCAAAATAAGAGCTAACAGCTTTTAAGTTTTAGTAATGAACGAGTTGAACACTGATACAAACTAGGTCAACCAAGTATATATTGAGTTTTACTTAACCAGTATTGACGCTGGAAAACGCTCGATGTACGAATAAAAGAAAAGTACTGCACTCATTGATATTTATCGTTGACCCACCTTTAATGAACCTAGTACGAAAGCCTAAGGGTTGAACAAGTTCAATATGAAACCCAATGCAGCTACATCTATTGAAAGCTTTCTTTTATAATGTTTTATATTATTACGAAGAGTACACTTTTGGTCTTAAAGGGGGGTTCTCCTTAATAAAAAAGAACGAAAATGAAGATATTAAGACTTCCAACTAAATCCGTTAAGCTTTAGTATATAACAAGACAAGATAAGTTAGTCATAACTGGTGACCAGTTGGAAACAACCAGTATTCCTAAAGCATGTCCTAACGACGAGACGTCGGCCACTCTTGAGCAGAACATACTTATGAATTAAAACAGCCTAGAAAAAAGTTTTGGCTTAGAGGAAGTTGTTCTCTCAACAATATCTAGAGAGGTAACCATGAAACAGCAACTACGGACTATTTAGATCCCTTTTAAAGATAAGGTAAGATGGGCTCCGTTCTCAAGGTTTCATTAATTTATAGAACTTTTTTGCAATGCAACTTGTGCCACAGACGAGGTTCTTCACTGCAAATTTTGTATTAAAGAAATAGCCTATGTCAGTAAAATGCTAGTAGATACTTGTTAACCTTGAATAGAGCGAATTGTCATATTACAAAACCAAAGGATAAATTAAACACCAGAAACCCCTGCAAGAAGGGGATGAGAATGAGTTGTCATGTACCTGTTTTGGGAATAGAGAGCCTTTTTCAATTATAACTTTATACGTCACAACTGCTTTGAAAAACTGGTTATTGTGGGCAACTTTTGCGAAGTAGAGTTTAAAAAATACGCTATAAAGGGGGAGTTACTCAGGGGAGGCGTCGTGTTACTGAAAACAGAATTATAGGGCCTTGAAAAATGGCCCATATATTGGACCATAAAAAGGAAGAAAATTGAGAGAATTTTTTTAAAAGTATCAATAGATACAGAAATTGTCAATATAGACTGTGATGTATATAAGGAAGGAAGCTTCGCCGTAAATTAGTTAGAAGAGCTAAATATTAAAGAGAATCTTCTAATGGGGACCTCACTTGGAGTTTGACCAATGTGGCCCCTAGCCGGAAGCTCTTGGCGGAGCAAGACTCTGCTTAACAGTTGTTTATAGAAAGACAAAGTTTGTTTGGGCAATACCCACAAACTAAGTTAGTTGTAAGTGATGTGTTTGGATAGTTTTTGGATAACTCACTAGGGTATGGATATATTATTAAGGTGGAAATAAATTCACAAATATTTTCGAAGTATAACATAACCCACTTGTAGAGCACTTCAATGGGTCCTTAAAGAAGATGAATAAGGCATTGATGCGGCAAGCTATCTTTTATGATAGTTTTGAATTAAAGTTGGTAAATAATGCCGCGTCCTTAACTATTGTTTACGCAAGCAAATGAAGAAAATTAAAGGAAGTTGTTTCAAAAGTTGAGGAGTAGGATGTTTCGGACGGATTAGATATCTTTGACTTGGAAGTTTCGGGAAGATGACACCATTCAAGGAGTAAATAGTTAGCTTCCTTTTTTCATTAGATATTTGTGAGGTTGTGTTGGGATCTTTGACCAGAAAACGAAGCGAATAAAGTAGCTACAGAAGAAAGAGAAATTCTCATAAATAAGGAACGTAATGTGATTACTCCTAAATTTCCAATCGATTCTTATTAAAAAAAAAAAAACCAGATACAACCACGACGCTAGCTAGAACACTCTCTATTGTAAAGAGAAACTACGGGGTAGACCCCAGGCAAAGGGTGTTGGCTTAAACTATGATTCAAGGTTGAGACTAAAGTGGGTGGTTACCATGGTTATATAAGAAAAGGTCAAAGCAGAGGTGGATTGGTGTCAGCTATTGAAGATAATCAATGAAAAATCCTTTTACATTATTAACTCTAAGAATTGTGACCTCGGTTAAGTTTCCCATAATAATAAAATACAAGAAGCGTGTCAAGGTAAGACAGTTGAATCTAAGAACCTAAGAGGGGGGTGCCGAAGCTTAAAATGAAAGCTAAACTGGAAGGCTTGAACAAGAAAGGATCGTGGAAGATATTAATTGCCGGAGAGACACGCTTAAATTCAACGACATGGAACTACACAACCAAGAACGCCGAAAGATTATAAGCTTGATAATGTGCATGAGAATTCACCGAGATAGAAGGTCAAGATTATGCTAAAACCTCTTTAACGGTTTTTAAAGGAGCCGATTATATTAGTTAAAGTATGTGCCCAGGAGGGCATATCGATATGAATAGTTGCAGGCCTGTTACAGCAGAGACAGGCTTAAATAAATTAATATCTTATTTATCGACAATCTTAGTTTTCTTGGAAATAAGGTTTTATTTTCAGTGGTAAGCAATTAATCAATTACACAAACCTCCCCAATATAACCGTCCTCTTTTTTTTTGTGACCACCACGCCTGCTTTCAAGCTAAGTGTAATATTTGAAAAGTGTATAAAATCTAACACAAAATATTCAAAATGTCCCCACATGGTCAAGTTATGGTTTTTTGTTTGCAGGAAGAGACGATACACTCGGAAAACAACAAACTTTTGTAACAATAGGAACCAGAAGGCAAGCGACTTCGGTGGCTTTAACTTTATAACCCGCCATAGTAAATTGGCTACCCTCTAGAGTGAGGCGATTTCAATTAATAGGAAAACAATGCCGGACCTCACCAATTTTTTTATTAAAAGCAAACAGGTTTACAGTACTCTATAAGTTCTGAAAAATCTATATTTTTCGTAAAATGCTGTCACCATATTATTTCTGGCGCCGAAAGAATATATCAGCTATGATAGATATAATCTGTATAAAAAGAATTCGTTAGTAACATGAAAAGTGGGCGCGTCACTTTAACATTGAAACGTCGTCCACACAAAGCAAAAGTACGGGAAAAGGATTATAATTACTACAGCCCTAATAACGCTTAACGTGAGCGGATTGTTTATATATTACTTTAACTTTCCAAAGTCATTAGCAATAAACCTTTATAGTCCCTCTATCGATGTTTAACCGATTCCAGTCTTCCTTTATGGCTAAGTCAAGTTATTAATACATTTATCATATCCAGGCTCCATTAACAAATTTTAACAAATACAAACAATTTGTAATAATTATAATATCATAAATATCATAGATAATATAAATAGTAACAAGCATTTTTGCTCTAAAGTCTAATAATATATAAAATATTAAAAAACTTCGTAAAACAATTAAAAGTTTTTTCAAGATAATCACAGTATCTCTACACTACATTTTGTTTTCAGTTATTAAAGTATAATAACCTTCTTTACTATTAGAAATAATGTGAGTGTAGTTAAGATTGACGTCTAAAATTGATATGGCTCTTCCCATAAGGTGTTCCTTTTTTACAAAACCGAAATCTCGGCTACAGGACAAATTAATATTAAGTTTCAAGTAAAGAAACAAATTAGAGACAAACTACAAGTAAATAGGGAAACCCTCTAATAAGGATAAAAATAGACCTAACAGAAAATTTCGTTAACTGTACTAAACTACTTTTTATAAGCCCTAGCCAGTTTGTAAATTACCTTTTCGAACAATTTTTAGTAAAGTAATTTTTAAGTATTTAATTTTTTAGAATTTCAGTATGTATAGATATAAGTTATCAGTTTAACTTAACAAAATGTTTATAAGATAATAATAATGAAGGTCAATTTTAAAAAAAAATTATGTCTATTTGACTTTATGATAAGATACGCGTTTGAGTACTTAATAATAATTCACCACAATTAAGCTGTAAACAGAGAAGACTACACAAACATTATAATTATATAAATAAGATATAGATATAAAAATCTTATAACTACTGCTACTTTGAACTAGTATATAGTAAATTTAGTGTGTATTTCAAAAGTAAAGTTTTTAAATATAATTTCCTATCGGGCTTTTCAGCTCTATTATCACATTCCACCCAATAAGAATGCTGAGGCACTGGAAGTTCCTCTAGTCCTTTACTTGAAATCTACTTTCATTATTGACGATAATAAATTATTAATAAACTAATATTAATATTTTTTGAAAAACAAAACCAAATATAAAGAGTGTTAGTTTTGTCCATATTTTTTGTATTTATTATTGTATAATACTTCAATGTACTTTCGAGTACAGCATAATTATTCCAAATTTATATTTAGCACCATCAATTATCAGGTAGGTTACGATAAGTTTGGTACTCGCCCGTGCATTATAATATTCTACTTGCTTCACACGTGCCACACAAACTTATGTTATCATAATAAAATAATAGCGATGTGTGTGTTGTTTTATTATGTCAAAAACTAAAAATACTAATAAAGCGAATCTTAGGAGATTAATAATAAAAAAAGGAAACAACCAATAAGTATTTTTAAAATTGCATATCTCAATAAATTGCAAATAATGCTAATTTATTATTCTATAATAAATGTAATACAATTGAAAGATTCACAAATATTCACCTACAATTCTAAAATATACAATACAATCAGTTATTCTCCACTTAATAAAAAACTATTAACCAATTTTTCAAAGGGAGAGGCCGTTATTCGACGAATTAAAACTTTGCTTTTTTCCAACGGGTTCCTCAACGCAACAACATCACCGTTATAGAATTTTTTGACCCGTCCAGTGTTAATTACTTCGAGCCGCTTTTTAAATTTAAGTAGATGCATTAACAAATCGTTAAATCTATAATAAAATAAGAGAAGCAGATCCAGAAATAGATCCACATAGAACGATAATTTCTTAAAATTGATCATGTTAAGTTATAATATGAAGTTGTTTTTTTTTTATAAAAAATTTCAAGATGAAAACTTATATAGAAAAAGTTATAAAAATTTAGAGAGTACTCTTCTTAGTTATAATAAAAGAACCGAAAAGAGCAATTAAAAAATTAATTACTATATGAACTAAGGTTATACAATAATTTCGTTAAAAACTGGTTAAAAATAGTTTATATGTTGATTAATATATAAATAAATAAAAATTAAGCATTTGATAATGATTTAAAATATAGACTTTTTAAAGAATAAAGTGCGTGTCTAGAAGTTAGCTAAGAGTCAAGGTATATTTTAAACAAAACCAAAGCTTGACCGTTTGTATGATAATAAAAACATGCAGAGAACCCTTTTTAAAATAATTCTTGAGTACTAAAAGAAACTTTAAAAGCCTTAGATACTTATTTAAAAAATAAATGAGGCATATTTCTTAAGGATTTATACAGTATTATATATTTAGTGAATATCAATAATGATATTTTGATATTGCAAAATATTAAAAAAGGTAATAATCATATAAGAATAGACCATGAACGACATATAAACGAGAAGAAAAGCAGAAATAATAATAAAAATAAACTTGTAAGACTGTTATATAGAAAAGATTTTATGTAGCGATATTTTAAAAGTTGCTATATATTTTATATAAACTACTTAACGTAGTATTACTAATATTAAACTATGAAAGTTGGCTTGTAAAATATACTGTTTGATTTTGAAAGAAAGGAGACATGGCATCAGTTGTTAGTAAAAAAAAACGAGAATCATTAAGTTTGTTCATCAAATAGCCTGCAGAAAAAAACTTGGTGAAAGGATAACTGAAAAATTTCCTAAAAACATGTACAAAAAATTAATTACTTTATAGAAATTATAAGTAAAAAACCAATGTTAGTAGATGTCAAAGGCGTTTCGCTCAAAGTTTTTAATTGTTTCCAAAAGTTTGATTGACTGTTACCCATTAAAATTCAAGTCCAAAATAACAGCTGTAATGATGGATTATATATTTATCATAAAAGTTTAATACAACCACGACCAAACGATTTGTAAGCTAATAGATACCATACGGATATCAAAAATGAATATAGTGTTTCACTAAGGCAGCAACTGAAGCTATGACAACAGCAAATATAAATCTATGTTAATTGTAAATTTAAGCATAAAAGTTTATGCGGCAATGCTAGCGGAAAAAATTTATCTAAAATTAACAAAAACAATGAATCTGCATGTTAAAAAAAAAATGTAAAACAATTTTTGAAAGTAAAATCTCTTATATAAGGATATATATATAAATTAGAAAGCGCTATTTTATTTATAAAGTCCGAAAAGATTTACTTATCTATGCTTTTACGTAGAAGTAACAAGTTAACAAGACACAAATGGCTTTATTCCAAAATAAAAAGGCCTCCAGAAAAGTCACACTACATATCTAGCACTTTTTCGCTTTTTTTAAGGTTGGAGGGCCTAGCTGTGCGTTAAAAAATAAACAAAAAAAAATAATACACCCGCTGTGTTTAATAAAAACGAAAGGGGTAACAGTCAGACAATAAAAAAGACTTTTTAAAAAGGTTTGAAGCTTTCTTTACAGTACGATTACAACAGTGCTGAACATTAGGGAACTAACGTACTAAGAGTGTTTTTTTAATAATAAAACATTAAAATAACACCGCTTATCCAGGCAACCGAAACTAGATTAAACCAAAAGTATATCTGAAAGTTGGCGTTCCTTCATCCTCGTTTAACTAATGTAGGTTAACACGAGGCAACTCTAATGTAATGAGGTGAAATTATTGGGATGGTAAAGAAAAAGGACTTCTTTAAAAGCAGATATGCAACTTTTGCTTTTTCGATATGGTGACAATAACGTTTTTAGTAGGATATGTGCCCTCTACAGCCAAGCTTTATCTTCTATTAAAGTAGAAGATATGACTCCACGATTTGGCCAACGTAATAATAATTATTTTAATGCTTTCCTGTAAATTGCTCAAGTTTTTGGCTTAGAAAAACATATTTATTTACAAAATATTATATTAGATAATACTGATAATACTATTTATTTATGTATTTTAATTATTGAAGTTAGTTTCGAAGAAGGGTATACCGAACAAAAAAAACTAAATCCCCACCTAACTTTCGAAGAATGGTCTGCCAACCAGCGAGGAATTCGCTTTGGGCGACCTTCGGGCCGAAGAAATATTACTGTTCGGCCGATTCCTCCCAAATACAGAGCACCGCTTAAGGATAGACCAAATCTCGTCTACCCTACTAAGATTGTTGATCCTGGCCCTTGGTACTACAAACCAGTGCATCAAGATGACAGACCAGAGGTTTTGTTAACTTTCTTAAAAATGCTTTCTATCAAGTTATTTGGATTTACAATGTTAGTATTTCTACTATAAAAGTTTTATTTTATAGTTTTATAGTTTCAAAATCTACTCTTTATTTTGTTGCTTGTTATATGTTAACAGTAAACCTTTTATCCTAAGTCTTTAACTAAGTTTTTATTACGTAAGATCCTTAACAAGTTAAATGTATTTCTATAGAATTTAAAAATGGGCGTATTCCGATTTGTCAACGAGCGTTTAGTATCAAGACGCCACGAACAAATTCAACTCCCCAACTTTTGTCCTGGGAGCATCATTAGAGTAAGGTTTAGCCATTTATGTAAACTTATGTTGTTCAAAGTTAAAGTTACGTTTCAGCATGTTCACTTAAAAAAGTTTCCAGCTTATAATCCCAAAGAAACTTTGTGGTTTATCTTCTTTTTGTGTAGACATCAGCAAAATGTTCTTTCAGACAAGGAAGTCACTTTTATAGGGATTTGCTTAGGCATCCGCAGAAAGGGTACATTCATATACATTCATATGCACTTGTATTCTCCACTTTCTTTATATAAACAATTTTTGTATTATAATAAGGGGGTTTTAGATAGTTCAAAAAAAAAGTAGCTATTTTTTCTATACTTTTTGGTTCACATAGTAATTGTTTATATAATTTATAGCTCATTTAGCTTTTTTTATAGTTGTACTATCATTTAAAATTAGTGAGAAGTTATTAATTTTACATACACTAATTAAAGTATAAGTGTGTGAAAGGTTATTATTGTGGTATATACTATTAACAGTATAAGTGATAAGCTGGTTCTAATTTAAACTTTTGTACGGTTATCATAGTCAAACTGCTTTTCCTGCTATAGTTACCCCTTAACACTATTGATTTATTAGGAATCTCAACCAGTTTTACACTCCGAAATATTATAGGAGGCGTTTCTGTTGAAAAAACATTTCCTTTGTATGCACCCACCACAAAGAGTATTGAGGTTTTTACTAAAATTATTCATTCTGCAGTAAAATGTAGAATTAAAACTTGCTATATTAAAAGGTTTAAAAAAATAAGTTTAAGTATTTTACCGCGGTTTCAAATTTAGATGGGATTGCTTGTAACACTTTGCTTTAGAACTTATAACAACTGGTGTAGAAAATTTATTTTGTAAGAACTGTTTTGAACATTTTTATTGTATTTTCTATTTTTTTTATTAGTCAGAAAATTAATAAAATTTGAATTGTCTAATAAATGTTTAATATTTTATTATTGGGGGTAAAAATAGAAGCTTTAACCAATTATTAAAAACAATTAGTAATATGTAATATAATAATTTTTATTACTTTTGTTATTTAAGATAATTATGTAATGTACACAACATTGAGATTTTAATTTCTCTTCTATTTTTGTACTGAATCGAATATATTACTATTACATCTAAACATTTTACAGAAACAACTATTTATTATTGTCTTGCTGTTTCACGATATGTAAAATGGTTTTTTTTTAGCTATAAAAATATTTTTGCGAAATAAACATGGTAAACGATATTACCTATGCATCGCTCTATATATTTGAGGTTTTGAAGTATGAAAGAAGAAACCGCATGAAACTGAATTACCTACGAGAGCGGCCTGATTCTGAAACAATTATTCAAGACTTGCCCGACATTAAAAATATGACTCAAGAAGAAATGGATACACACAATAGGCTTTGCGGTACTGTTAAGATAACTATAATAAATATTGTATATTTTACATATATTATTAGACTTAATTGAATATAAACGTCAGGAAAATATAAATAAAAACATGATTTTCCATTTGCAAAATTTACTAAGAAAGTATTAGTATATTATTATTATTATTATTATTATTATTATTATTATTATTATTATTATTATTATTATTATTATTATTATTATATTTACTAGAAAATACGAAAAGATTCAAGAGGAAGCTTTGAGGAACGCAAATCCTCCCCCTCCGGTTAGACAGTTTGGAAGGTTTTTATTTTAAACCTTTATAATATTATTTATTTCATAAACTATTGTAAATGCTTATTAAAATTAGCTATTTAAGTCTCTTCTACGTTTCCCCTTTTTTAGTTAATTCGGAGAATATCCTATTAAAACTATAATAGCTTTTATAAAACATTTTATCATATCTTTTGTAAGATTTTGCAAAGTTACAGTTGTCTTTATTTATAAGTATTATGTTGATATCTCTATGGTTGACGAAAGCCAGATTTCATATGCATTTCATATATTACGCCCTTTTTAATAATTTTTGAATATTATATATTTGTATATGCATTTTAAAATTTTTAAAAAAAAAATTAACACATTGTTAGTGATTGGTTTATGTGATATATACTTTTTAAAAGCTAAAAAAGGCAACCGTTTATGGGACATTAAAGATCTTTAAAAAAATTGTTAGCTTTAAAGAATTTTTCTTCATGTTTTATAATAAGACCGTACACGTAAGAGAATTACAAAAGTTTGTTAAGACTGCGCTAAACTATATATGACTATTTAAGAGTTTATAGAAAACTCTCAATCCAGTTATGGCTGTTTATACAATCTATTTTTCATTTTTTAGTAAAAGTTAAGGTTTATCTCTTTTTGTTTATAGTTTTAGATAATTTAATCATAATCTATTATCTGCTCTTAATGGGGACTTGAAAGCTTGAAAAACTTATATATAATGTTATTAATTTTTATTTTACTTTTAACTTTTGTAGACGACAGCTTAGTAGAATCAGGAAACTAGTCAGACTCCGAAGAAAAAAAGAACAGCGCGTAAATTAAAATTTATTAATTTTATTACGAATTTTTGTAAATAATTGACATATAACAGGCTTTTAACCGCATGAAGAAGTTAAGAAGACCTCAGAGATTCGATCGTAAACTTTTACGTCTGGCGAAAGAATTTAAACGAAACGAGTTACAGGCCCGCGCTGCTTCCAAAAAACAGAACCATTTGATTCTCTATTAATGCAGTAATAATCTTACTCCGAATATAATGCAATAAATGTATTTTTTATACATCTGCCTTGACTTTTTTTGCAACTTTTTTAAAAGTGTAGTTTTGGACTGGTGGGACAATTTATACTGTTAGTTTTTGTTAAACTTTTAAATATCTAATTTAAACTCTAGGAATAAAAGTTTTGGTTTCGATTAAAATTTTAGTACGTTTAACTTTTTTTATTATAAGGGTAGGTCTTCAGTGTTTAAGAATGGCATTGGGCATACAATTATTTAATAATCCACAAAATTGTATGAAGACTTCTTAATATACTAAATTGAAATTAAGCATTTACATAAATAAAAAGTAAGATCACTCTAGAATGTGATATTTTGAACTGTCTTTTAAATTTTTTTTCTTTAGTAATTTCACTATATATCATAATTAAGGTTGGTTATTGCATAAACTTATTAATTATAGGATTAAAAAAAAGGTCCACTGTGTCCATACAATGTTTTAATAAAATAAGCCGTATTTAGTCTTCAGCTGCCCGCTTATTTTTATTTTTTAGACAGCTTACTTAGTTAACATTTGGCATAGAAGGATTCCGACATAACAAATGTCAGGTTTTCGGGTTTCTTGTAAATTAACCTGTTCGGTGTTTATTCATTACTTTTCAGTTAAAGCAATACAATTTTGCCATGGAAAGTAACTCGAAGCTAGTACAATATATTATTTAAAATATCTGGAGCCATAACCAAAGAATGGAGCGATATAAAGTATATCTATATATAATGTAAACTTATTTAAGGAATAAGCCTATTTTTTGGCTTACATTTATAACTATTCAAAATACTATACAAATATATATCGCTTTTTTGCTTTTATAATTGTTTATAAAATAGCTATTTACTTTGTTTAAGACAATGTCTGTCTATTTGTACATATACATTATGGAACTAATATAGTTGTAATTTAGTAATGGTTGTACCATCACATATTTCGTTGTTATTGATAGTCCGACACGTGTGGTCGAACTGTGGCATGTAGTTGTAGTGCTAGGAGGGCTCTCCTTTCCCAATTTGGTTAAACTAATATTGGTTTTTTAAATAACCTCTCAAAAAGAGTTGGGGTAAGGAATTTTGCAGATTTTCTGAAAACAGAAATCACCGCACTCTTTACCTAAACATAATAATATAATACCTCAATGTTGAATTTTTTAGTTAAATGTAGAGTAGGAGTTGATTGGAGGGTTCCTTTATAGTCTCCCTTAATTAAGGGTTCCATTAATTTTGAGCCAGTCACACATAAAAATATGGTATTTTTATTTAACGCTGCAACCTATAAGAGCTAACTGCCAAGCTTGCTACTGGAGGCCAAATTTTTATTTTTATGTAAATACTTATAATCCTTAGTATATACTAAATCTCGTTTTTACTAGTTAACGCGCCTCTTAGAGGGATGAATATGCAGACGTTACGGTTGCGCATGTTATTATCTGGAGCTCCTAAATTTTAATACCCTCAGGTCAAGGTTAAGAGTCTTGCGCTCAATGGAAAGCTCCTCGATTTTCGTTATATTCCTTACACTGAGCCATCCCACGTCTATCACTAGTCTCGGCTTTGGATGACCTTTACTTCTTAGTTTTGTTCTTTAAGTTATCCCTGTTTTTTTATATCATTATTTTATTATATAATAAATTATATGTACTGGTCTGTTTTTCATGTTTTTATTATTTTTCGTTTTACTTACGTTTTGTAACTTTGGTGCGCTTTATTATTATCATAGCACCCGTAAGGCCTTAAGGCCGTATTATCAGAAGGCTGGTTGTATTGATCTTTTTAAATGGAAGTGCTAATAATTAGTGCCTTTGGCTTAGATGCTACGTCAAATTCTAAGTGCATAGACCACAAGAATATGGGGACCTGGAATCTAAGTATTACGAAGTTTAGTTCTTTATGCATTAGAAAAAAATATTTACTTTGAAGCTCTGGACGTCAAGGTTAACACAGCGACGGGGTATGGGTTAATTGCTCTCTGAAGAATTACAAGACTAAAAAAACGTTTTCATGTAAGATTAATAGGTGATAGAGTTAACCTTTTATCTTCTGAATAGAATATTAAGATAAAGAAGCGAAAAATAGTTAAAGAAAGAGAATTTATATGGGCAGTAACTGAGAGCTTAAGAGAAAATTAGTTCTTCGAAGAAAGTGAAATCTAAGATGAAATTGAGAGATTTTATCACCCGCTTTTGCATTCGGGAAAGTACCGTAAGGCATGCTGTGCACTTTTAAGGTAAACAGGCGTAGCCATTTAATTAGGAATGATACGAAGAGTATAGTTGAATTTCAATTTAGTTTGAAATAGCAAGTCCTTATGTGGAAAAACTAATTATTCCAGCAACGACCATCTGAAAGAATTTTTTTTGTATCTTACGTAAAAAAAACGATTTTGCTAGGGTACTGCGAGTAAATTAAACATTTTACTTAGCTAAATAGTTATGGAGGAGCCCTTAGTCGCAACCCGTGTATATTTCACTAGTAGCATCAAGGAGAATATATTTAAAATTCGGTGTTAGCTTTGTCTTAAATATTATTAGCGCTTTTTATTATATTATACTTAAAACGCAAACTTTTATACACATAGTACGGCGCACAAAATAAACCAATCAAGAACGTAACAAATCTTTTTAAAGGAAACGATAAAATATTTTGGCCGTGTTGCAATGCGATTGTAGAAGCCAATGACAGAAAATGGATAAATATATCGACTAATTAAAGATATAAGTTTAATTATAACCTCAAACTTAAGATGCATCCTTCAAATTAATTCTCGTATAACCACTACTGATATACTGATATAGTAAGAAAATACTAAACTTTAAAAAATTTATGGGCCTAGTAACGGGTTTTTTATAGAAATCTGGACTACAGTTTATTCAATTATAGAAATTAATATTAGAACAGAAAAACTTTATTAACATATTTAACAACTAGTATAGTTAATAACTAATAAAAAAAAATTATCGAACTTCAACTACACTGTTTCTTCTGATAAACATTAATTGTTTATGGGCTAACTAAGAGCCCTCTATCGTAAACCCTTCTTTTCAACGATGTCCAAAAAATCCTCGATTGGACGAGCTTCAGGGGATAAGCTGAGTTGTCCTATTTTATTAAAAAGTTGAAGTTTCTTGTCGCAGATAATTACTGTGATCTTAGCATAATGTTAGTTGTCTACTTCGCGCCAGATTACCTATTGATCGTTTGGTAATTTTCACGAATATACCGAATAAATCTTTGTATAATACAGTCGCTTAAGTACACTTTGATATTAAATGCAGATCAGACACCCGAGTTCCTTTAGGCCAACAGTGATTCATACTAACGCCTTCCAATTTTATTTTTGTGACAAACTTAGCGCTAGAAGATGCTATTGAAACACTACTTGTGTAAAAACCGCCATTTTCTTAATAGTATTGTGTGAAAGAGTAAAATATGACTCGCCCTAAATAATAACACAATTTTTTTAAAATTTTAGCAGCAAACGACCGTACTTTGGTTTTGCAAGTTTAATTTGATTTTCTGAAGGCTTTGGTATGGTTTGCTCTCTCCGATACCTCAAATTTGTTTTATTTTAAAAAAAAATTACAAAAATAAGATGAGCTTACACCAAACTTTCTTGCAGATAGGCGAAGAGAACACGAGTAACTGTTTTTAAACACATTGGCTTTCTAGAGATACTGCTTGATGATTTTGACGCCTTACGATCAGTTCCTTTTTTTCTATCCACATCACTTCACTCTCAAAACGTTGCAGTATACTGTATAAAATCGATTTTGATACATTTTCGGCAGCAAAATGTTTGTTAGTGAATGAAATCCACGGTCTCTGTTTGCTCATGAAATTTTGCGAGTCCTCGGAGAAGCTTCTTTTCGACGCCATTTTTCTGGACTGAAGAAAAGATTTAATATTTTGGCTTTCATTTTAAGTATTTATATTCAACTAAATTTATAAAAAGACACAAAAGATGTGTCGTTGCAAAAAGATGACATTTTAACATTAGACCAGACTTCTAGAAGATAACCGTTAGTGCATGCTAAGAGCGTTTTTAATTACCATATATAGGGTGGTAATTAAAAACAAGTTTATGGTGAGGCATTTCAATAAAACTGTTTTTCTTTCACTGTCACCTTTATACAGACCTTTATACAGCGATATAAATTAATCTTAATATCTACGCTAAAGGAGATCGAACTAACTCAGCATTAGAATTTATGAGGGCGAGGTTAAATACGCGACCATCAAAAACCGAAAAATAGAGTCAGGTCAGTGGGGATCGAGCCTACGACCTTGTGGACGCGCATCAATGCTCTTAACCACTGAACTACAACGACAACTCTCGATCTCCCGGTACGATGATTTTACGTATGTAATCTGTTAGAGGGTAGAGAAAAGTATACAATGTAAGGGAACTATACGTTTCCACGACTACTTAAAATTTGGTAACTTTTCTTATCTGTGACCAAAGCGATACAATAGTCTGATAGGAACAAAGCAATTAAATTAGAAAAAATTACAGCTATTTTCTGTAAACTTACGTTATATGGACATAGTAACTAATATTTTAAAAAATTTTTTTTTAAGATCCTAATATCTCCTCAAAAATAGATATAGAAGATGATACTTCCTCTAAAATCAGCCTTCATTCGAACGTGAGTATAGTTCCTTAAGACTGTTTGAATTCTATGGCCTGCATGACCCTTGTGCATATTTTTTGGGTAACAGAAAAAAAAATTATAATTTTTGACCGTTATATTTAAAAGAAAGAAATTTTTTTATTTTGGGGGTTCCCGAATAATTATAAATAATGATCACTGGAAAATTGCCAAGTTATTTTAAACACACTTTTAATAACAGTTATAAAGAGTGACACTCGGGTAACGTAAAAGAAATCAAAATAAATATTTTGAGGATATGTATTGCCAACTAATAGCTACAAAGGACGGGAACGAAAAGAACGGGAGCCATTTAATTTTTATTTAATTTTATTTTTTAAAACACTGGCATATTACGGTCATTCCTAGGACTTTAAACCGCTAATTTAATGTCCAGCATTGAAGTGTAAAGGTTCTTTACATGGCCTTCCGCATTGAAATAATTTGTAAGCGTGGAAACTCGAGGTCGTGGGTTTTTCATTTCCCCACTGGGGAGTTGTCTTTTCAGTCTCTTTACTGAAATGAAGGCGATAAACATAAAGGGCTACTTGAGTCTGTGTTGCTGCTTATTGTATTAAAACTTTAGTAAATCAATATATCGCTTCTTGAAAAATGCTAATTGTTAAAACTCTCCTGTGTTAGGTAGAGAATTTCTTATAGTGAAATTTAAATAATTTAAAGAGGTTGCAAACTTTTAAGCATTATGCAAGCGCTATTTTACTAAAAAACGTACACACAACTATACAATTCTACATAACATTTTTTCTAGTGAGAAGTTTTATATGGTAAGATGATTAAAAAGAGTTGAATTATAATTTTGAGGGTACTAAGAATAAAAACTTGTTGGAAATCCACCTTTATAAAAGTGTTTTGCAGGCCGGGGCTAGTGACATTGGTTATAGGTAAGCGCAAAGTTATATTTTACTCAAGGAAATACAAAATAACCGGGCTGACGCTCTTAAAATAAAAATAAAATAACTTGATAAATAAAATAAGTAGTGGTAACAAACTATAAATCTTTTCTAAGTGCAGTTGAGTATGATGAGGTAAAAAATGTTTAAAGAAGAGCACTGGATTAGTACCTAACGTCTTAACCAGGTAAATTAGGCTACTGCAAACCGCAAAGCTTGTGTTCAATCCTTTTTCCTTAGTGTTAAGTCCAAATAGTTCTAACGTGGCGTTCAAGATTTTATCTTCATTGAGTATATAATATAATGAAGCGGAGAAGTAACGTTGCTTTACAGGTAGAGCATACGAGCAGTAGTAAAAAAAGGTTGTTTTTAACTCAGCTGGAATATAGACCCTTCTGCTTACCGACCACAACTTCTACTGCTTCATCTGTCAATTTTTTAACTGTTTCTTGGCATAGTAGAAGGAGATAAGCATTATTCATAAAAAACCTAAGCCAGGTAGACATTAAACTAAACTACTAAAGAAAAGAAATTAACGCCCCTGAACCAGCAAAGGAACCATTAAGGCGTAATGTGAGGATGATAAGGACTACCAAAGGCTATGGTAGTGTTATACTTGTATAAATAAGTTAAGTGACAAATGCGACAATCATGTATATAATTTATTTACTATTGTTGCAAATGCCATCAACTTTAACAAAGAATAAAGAATCATCGTATATATTAACAAAAAGATAACTGACTTAGAAAATTTAAATTAATTGATAATTAGTTTCTCACCATTATAGTTATGTAGTACAAAATATTAAATTTTGAGTACTAGTTACTAAAGCATGCTTTGAAAAAATTAAAAATAGTTAAACATCTTAAATTAATATATGTAACATAATTTAAAATTTCATTCAAAGTTTATCCAACATATATATTTTTAATAATTATAACTAAATACACAGATAAATGACACTGACATTATATAATTCAATAAATTGATAAAGAAAAAAAAATAGAAAAATGGAGGTTATAAAAATTGTGAGATTTAAGCCTGAACTGGTTATTAATGCCAAATTATAGAGAAATAAAGTTTCATACATGGCGAGTTTAAAAAATAAAAAATAGGCAGGCAAAACCAGTATAATTTTAGAAGGAAAAAATAAAATAAGTGCCGTATTATAAATAACAGTAAACAAAAAAGCCCCTGAAGGCTTTGTATTAATATGAAGCATAAAGGATATTTAAAGGGTCATGTATTAGGGTTATAATAAATTTAATTTTTATCCTAAGAAGCAACTCACTAGTCATACAATTTGAGTGACATCCTGGGGTTGTTGATTTTCATGTCTACTTCTTTTTCGTTTAGACATCACCATTTGTAAATATTTAATTTTTTCTTTAGTCTTATCGTTATCTTTTAATATGTTCTCTTCCTCCTGCTTAACTGCTTCCAATATGATAGTATAATGCTTTTTGAACTGTTTTTTGGATAAACTATCAATATCTTTTATGTCTTTTTCTAAACCATTCCTGTTGGCGCTCATGGCGCAATCATGAAGAAAAGAACCAGAAACTTGTTTTAAGCATTTAGCTGTATGGTATGCTCCTTCATTTAGAGCCGCATTAGAATCGTCAGGGATGTCTTTAACTTGAATTTGGAGTAGTACAGGCTGCTCAAGTTTGCCAAGTTTAAGCTTTACAATTTGCGATGGGAGACTTTCGGATTCCCGTTGGAGAGCTCTTCGCTTTAATAACACTTGCTCTCCAGAGCCTATTGATTCTGTGCTGCAAGGGCGATAGGGACCCAAGAATTCAACAGAGTTGGAGGGAAGTTGTAGTATAGATCTAATTTACAGTAAAAAAATATATTTAAATAATAAATTTTATAATAACCTTGTAAAATCGTTAACGGGATAATATTCAATATTAGCACTTTTCCTCAACTTCCAAAAAAGTTTTTTTAATATTAAAGAGCCAAAGGTTCTATTTTCTTCGTGCTTTTCAAAAAGATTTACGGTATCCTGAGCCGCACGACAGCATTCCTCAACAAATTCTTTTTCCTCTTCATCTCCTTCCTCCTCCTCCTCCTCATCGTCATAGTCCTCTTCTTCGTTCAAGTCGGTCAAGCCATCCACGTCATTTTCTTCAGAGTAATTATCTTCTAAATCCTCCTCATCATCATCGTAATCATCATCGCAATCAGCGGTATCCAAAAAAAGTTCTCTTAAAGTAGACAAGTACTCCTCTTCGTCCATATAATCGTCTTCCTCATAAAAATCATGGTGACAACAAACTCCTTATAGCATTTAAAATCGATAGTAAACAAAAGAACAGGGTTAGTACTAATATAATAGAAAAGAATTAAGCAATTATTTTATAACCTCTTTCATAAAGAATATCGCACTGTCCTAAAAGACCGCTTTTAACTTTACAACTAAGTACGACTACCATGTTTTCTAAATAATTATTATCTTCAAAGAGGAAACCTATTTAAACACAAATGGTTTATATTTTGTAAATATATAGTAAATATATAAAAACTGAAAATCAACCTGATATCAATTGTCTTCCGTCTTTCTGAACAACTAAATTTTGCAAACAAGGTTCAATTTTTGTTTTAAGATAAATTTTCCACTTGAGACGGTCCACAGTGCAAGTGTCTTTATTTACAGAAACGCTTAACTCTCTACCCAATAAAGTTTTAACTTTAATACAAAAATTCTTCTTTTTTTCTTTTTTACACTTTACAGTTAAAATTTCGCCCTGAATAACTTCTTTTTTTGAACTATTACCCTTATGATTGATTAGTACCTCACCATTACAGCCGTTATTACAGCCAGTTGTGTAATTACTACCATTATTACTATTACTAACATTTTTACTATTGTTCCTAGTAATGGTACTACTACTAGAATTATTTTCGCTTAAAACTTGTGAAGAATTTGCTTCGGAGGCCTTAGTGACTTTCTCAAATAGGTCATTTTTACTTCTTAAATTTTTCTTTATTTTGGTTTCTGGATTACTTAAAGGGTCCGACATTTTTCTTTAATAAGTTAAAGAATAATATAATTATCAAACCCTAAAATGCGGTTTATAACAAAACAAAACACTTAATGTAAAAGGCCACAAAAAAAAGCAAGAAAACCTAACTCCTTTTCAAGAGTTCAGAATGCTAGTATTTCTGTATTATCATAAGCAAACGCACAGCCCCCAAAGACAAGTTTTAGGGATGGTTAATCTGTCCCACGGGGACCTTGATTGTGTGCAGATGCTTATATAGTTAAGGAGTTGACGTAATACCATTTGATACTAAAAAAGTTAAAATATAAATATCGTCTACACGAGCTTTTTTTAAAAATAGTTTTGGTTTTCTGATTATAAAATATCTTAAGAGAGGTTTAAAATTGTTGTTGAAGCTAAATATTATAAAAAAGTTTGCTATAAGAGTTAGTCGTTTAACCTTTCACGTAATATACTAAAAAATTATTTTTATTGGCTGCAATGTATTTTTTCTTAGTTAATAACAATTTGCTATCTATCTACTACAGCTTATGTAACCCTTTCATTTAAGCAGATCAGTAACTGAGCCTCTTACGTTAACACTTATAAATGGTGACTATATAACGTAGGGTGAAGAAGAGAGATTAATAAGAAAAAGAGAACTTGTTCCAAAATAGGTTTTCAGGGGAAGAAACCTTCTCTTCCGAGGGCTCTACTGACCAAAAAAACTTAAGTTATTAGGTAAGTGTAGTCACAATACATTAAGAGTTATAATTCTGTCATTTCTTTGAGGAAGTAAACCTTACTTAGTTATAAGTAAGCGTGCTTATCGGTTTATAATGATAGTAGTTGTGAGAGTTATGAGATATAGGTTTAATGTTATTTTTTTTAACTTCACTAAAGCGTGTTTATAATATTGCATCAATTCATCGGATATCAGACGCGAATTAAAATGAAACAGTTACTAACAAGCTTAAAGATTAAATATCATGCTGAAACCGAGTTGGGCCAGGGTTCAGTGACATTAAGAGCAGACTCCAGGTCGTGAGTTAAATTTCATATACTCATCTCTTCATTTTGATTCTTAATAGATGCTGTTTGAACTTCGCCCTTGTAAACTCTAAATATGGGCGAAGTTATAGTACATAATCATCAAAGACCAAAAAAAAGAATCGCGCAAATGAAGTTATATATAAGTTTACGTTTAAGTATTCTTCAGTTTAGATACGTCGGCAACTTTAAACACGGCGTGGTCGCTCTGCATATATTTAACTTGTAACTGAAATTTAATTCACATTTTCAAGGTAGGAATGGGTTTACCCTCCTTTCTAATGAGCGCACAGTTTCCCCGCTTACCGAATAGTAAAGAATAAATAGTTATTAGATTTGTAGATACAGTAGCTGGATAATATGCAGAAGTTTTTCACATAAAACATCGCCATAATGTATACTAATAAAAAAAACTTTAGACTTCATAGAAATTATGTTGTTTTACCTTATTTAACCAAATTTTTACATAAATGTACTCGGATAAATACAGAAATGCTATTTTCCTTAAGGTATGACTCTTGTTAAAATTAAAACTTTTTTTCCTTCATTCTAAAAGAGGTTCTTTTTACTTAAGGAAGAAAGGAAGCTAAGCCTAAAGACAACTTCTTCCATTAAAACAAAAAATAGTGGTAAAATTTTTATACTGAGAAAGATTTTTAATTTCATAAATAATTTGGAATATAATTTTTTTTTTCGGTTTTACGTTGTTGTCGATTTATTAAAATATATTTTATAAAGTTTTCCGTAAAAGAGTAATGCAACTTAATATATTAGTTGCAGAGTACAAAAATTTAAGCAATTAAGTGGCAATCTTTTAAATTACTAAGCTAAACCTAAGCAAAAACAGTGTGTAGCAGTTCTTATGAACTATGTCCCTTTTTTAAATAGGAAAAATTAAAGTACTGAAGAGATATATCTCAACTTTTAGAAGGGGCCCCGCTAAATTATTCCGTTATTAGAGTACACAGGGATGCTAATATTATTAGTACCCTGAAACTTAACATTTCCTCCAATATCCTTATAATATCCTCATGGACTGATAACTAATACTATAGTACCGATATGGGGCATATTAAGCTCATTAACGGAAACGCTAAATCACAGGATGGCCAATATAAACAAAAGTATATACAAAAATCAGCTTGTGAAGCTGGATACATGGCAACAAGTCAAAATACTAAATAAGTTACTTTCAAGTGAACAAATCAATATTTATAGAAAACTCCGGCACAGAATTTCCTATCATTACTTGAAATAAGGACTACAAAGAAAAAACAATTAGATAAATCATGTATACATAAAAGACAACATGGCTTTTTGCCTCGTTCTTCGTTTAAACTATAATATAGCTTAACTTAACGAGAATAAAAGGCATGGGGAGAACCAATAGCTTTATTAAATTGCTTCGCCTATACTCGAAAGATCTTTGGCTCTGATAAGCGCGTAGTCGAAGATTATATGCATGTGCTGTTTCTTTTTTAACATATCACCTCACATTCCTCATAGCCCCTACTCTTACAGACATTGACTTTCTTAATTTCGCGACATTATTATATAACCAATAACACTAATTTTTATTCTTCATTAGCGTTTTGAGCTTTAGGTGTGCTTTTCCAACATGAGATAAATATTATAGCCTTTTATGCACTGTCTTCTTTAACTACATAAAATTATCTAATAGGATATATGAGGGCGAGGTCAAATGCGTAGCCCTCGAAGATCAAAAGATAGTCGCGTCTGAGAAAATCGAGCCCAAAACCTTGAGCGAGAGCAACGGCGACAACTTTTACCCTACTTAAATAGTATAATCTACATAACCTGTTATTAACACTCAGGCTAGGGTTTTGGCCTAGTTTGCTAGCTCCTATATCTTTAGCTGACCTTAGAGTCCCTTAACTCTAGCCCAATGGCAGAGTTTCAATAGTGCAGGTGGGAAACAAAATTACGCCTTTAAATTTAACTGCTGAGCTACTCCAACACACTTTTTTTTTTATCCCGGAAGGCTGATGGTACGTACTTAACCTGTTAGAAAGTTGTGTTCTTCAACTGAAGCTCACCGATCAAAAAATGGTTTACTTTAGCCAAAACTTAAGCAAGAGAAAGTAACACCAACTGGAAAAAACAGCTTTTTATTTTCTAAATAGTATAGAAGCGTCGAAGACACTTTACTAGGAGTTGAAACAAAAATCTTTTTCAATATAATACTAATAGGATTTTTAAATTTTCTTAACTCTTTATTATCACCTATATTTTTTACTCTTTTACTACCTTTTTCAAATTAATACTTTTTCTCTTTTCTTATTATTATATTCTTACATTAATTTATCTATAAATTTAAACTCATAACAGAGCATTGAGGAATCATCTCTTATTCAGCAACTAGATGATAAGTTGTTTGCCCAGTAAAAGGGGTTACTGAATGCCAGGAAAGGACCTAGCAGAAGACCGGACTTTTAGTCAAAAAAAATACCTTTAATTCGAACTCAAAACCAGAAAAAATGCCCTTAATAATAATTAGAAGGAAAGTAAATCTAAATTTACAAAAGCCTACTTGAAAATAAACTTCTAATCAAAAAAGCCGTTAGTATATAACGTGGCATTAAAAAAACCCATCAACACCAAGCATTATTAAACTTATTGTTACAGGACAGTGCGAATATTATATCATTCTCACTCTGAAGACAGGCAGACGAAATTGGTTTATAGAGGCTAATAATTGTGCTTAAAGATCTTATTATAGTAAGTTTACTAATTTTTATTTTAAAAGGTCAGCAGAATAAAAAAAAAGTTTCCAAAAGATAAAATTGTTCCTGGTGCTTAAAAAACTACCTAAAATAGAAAAATTCATATATAGTACCGAATTCCTGTTACGGTAGAATCTTTTGAACAAAAGAAGTTATCAACTGGTGTTTTAAATGCCAACTTCCTCGATAGGTACTTGAAATGCACTCAATAAAGTTGTTCTTAAGAGAATATATATCCCTCAGATTTTTCGTTATCCACATATCATACTCTCTGAACCGATCACAAGCCCTTTGCTCCATAATTCTTTATTTCCCTTGTTAGTGTCAAACTATTAGTTCTTATTAACTGGAACATTTAAATTACGTGTAAAACAAAATTTTGTCGTTGAAAGAGATAAACTGCGTTGAAGTTTGGATTTCAGGTCCTCCGTATTATTGTATTTATCAAAAGAAAATTTTACTTTAATAAAGAAATAGGTCTTAATCCGACTGTACGTTGAGAAGGCTATTAACAGAATGTAGCCTCGCCCTCATTAATTCTAATACTATAAGTACTCGCTCAACCATAGGCTAAATGTAAGGGCACCCCAGTTCTCCTGAAGATCCCGACATGAGAGAGCGAATAAACAGTGGAGAGAAGAACATGCTGAAGCCCCTGACCTGAGAGAAAACACACAAAAACCGATGAGTACACCCCCAGGGTAGCATTAGTTCAAGACAATATACTGAAGAAAATAAATTAGTTTCCTAAGAACTGTTTTATAGATTCTAAAAAATTCACGATATTATAGAGTGAACGGTGAAAAATTATTTACAGTACTTTATAATACTCATAATGGCATCTCTGCTAAAAACCTATATTTAAACTTTTATAGTTAAAACGGTGAAGCCTGGTAATTAAAAGGTATAAAAATAGTTGACACTGAAAAAGCGTGATTATAACGATAATATGAAGTTGACAACTTCAGGAGGGAGTTTATTGGAAAGTAATGAGTAGGTTAAAAGAAACAGAAAACAATTTTTAATTATTGTTTTATCGGTCAATATTTATCCTCTTAAAAATTAAAAATTAGTTTGTATCCGTTTTAGTTGCATACTTTAGAACGCATTCCTCGCGATAAAACTTTGGAGTAATTCGGAAATTACTTACTAAGGCAAAGCAGTAAATTATTTGTAATGACTCGAGCTTGTATCAGAGTAAATCTTTCGTTCTGCTAGGGCAACTTACAAATATCCTTTTAAAAAAAAATACTTATAGCACTAACTAGAAAAAGGTCAGCAAAAAAGGTAGCTAAGGCACTAGTTATATAAAAAATTAGCCATCTTTATTTTCGAGGGAAGTGATCTTTATTAGTATAACATAGGTCATTATTAGAGTAACTAACCACAAACCCGGACTTAAGCATTAACAAGGGCCAATAGCAG